AATTGGCTGCAGAGGCCCATCCGGTGCAGTTGTCTGGATTTTACGACGCTGGCAAGGGACGCAGGAACCGACGTAGCACGCGATGCTAGTAGAAATGCCAGGCCAGTAAAAGCGACTTCGAATGAGGTCGTAAGTTTTTTGAATACCAAGATGTCTGGCAGTCAAGTCGTCGTAGAAGGCTTTAAGCACGTCAAGTCGAAAAGAGCTTGGTAGCACGGGAACCCAGCGTTGACCATCTGGGTGGTAGACGTGACGGTACGGAACTCCATTTTCCAGCTTAAATCGCAAGAGTTGACGACGATGTCGCGCGTTAGGTGGGTGGGAAGCTCCTGAAGGCTGGTCCATAATACGCCTACAGTACGGATCAGACAGCTGGCAGGAGTTAAATGTGCGCTTGTCATCCGAGAATAGCTGGTTTATTGAGGCGAGTGCAGGCGCTGCAGTAGAAGTGATGGCCGTACTTTGACCGATGCTGAGCTGGGTATTTGGTAGCGGGCAGCGCGAAAGAACGTCCGCGCCTTGGTGTTTTCTACCTGACTTGTAAGTGATGTCGAAGTCATACTCCTGTAAACGTAGAATCTACCGACCCAAGCGTCCAGACAAGTTTTTCAACGTGGAAAGCCAACATAGGGCGTCGTGGTCCGTAACGATCGTAAAATGATGGCCGTGGAGATACAGACGTAACATTTGCACTGACCAGACCAAAGCCAGTCACTCCTGCTCAGTTATGGTATAGTTCTTCTCGGTCACCGTTAGAACTCTACTGGCATATGCAACTACTCTCTCTTGTGAACGGGTGTCACGCTGAAGCAGAACAGCACCTATACCACGGCTGCTAGCGTCCGTGTGTAGGATGGTCGGTGCGGCCTCATCAAAGTAGCGGAGTACAGGTTCAGACGTGAGGACACACTTTAAAAGGTCGAATGCTGTTTAGACATTCTTCCGACCACAGAAAGGGCACGTCGGAAGCAAGAAGCTGGTGCAGTGGAGCCGCTATTGATGCGAAGTTGCGTATAAAACGGCGAAAATAGGAGGCGAGACCAAGTAAACTTCGCAACTCTTTCGGACTTTCGGGGCGCGCAAAGCGAAGCACCACACCAATTTTGTCCGGATCTGGCCAAATTCCGTCTTTGGTCACGACGTGACCCAAAACCTTGATAGCTTTTGTGGCGAAACGGCATTTTTTGTGTTGAGTTCGAGACCAGCGGCGACAAGACACGTCAGAACGTGATCCAAACGTTGTAGGTGCTGAAAAAACGTTGACGAAAAATTGACAACGTCATCCAAGTAGCAGAGGCAGGTCTTTCATTTGAGACCGCGCAGAACGGTATCGATCATGCCCTCATGTAACGGGCGCGTTGCACAGCCCGAAAGGCATAACGTTGAATTCGTATAGCCGTTGGGGGTGGCGAATGCCGTTTTCTCTTCATCCTCTTCGTGCATAGGAATTTGCCAGTATCCGGAATGCAGGTCGAAGCTGGAAAAGTATTTTGCGCCTTGTAAAGAATCCAGGTCATCGTTAATGCGAGGCATTGGGTGCAGATCCTTACGAGTGATTTTGTTGAGCGCCCTGTAATCGATGCAAAAGCGCACGGAGCCATCCTTCTTACGAAAAAGAACCACAGGTGACGACCAAGGGCCAGATGAGGGGCGAATTACCTCTCGTTTGAGCATGTTAGCTACGTTTTCTTCAATAATTTTTCTCTCAGCAGGAGACATGTGCTAGGGCCGCCGGCGTACAACACATGTTCCAACTGCGTGGATTAGATGCGTTGTAGTAGTAGCGCGGCCCAACGTCGAGTAGTAAACATCGAAGGAACTTGCGAGTTTCCTTAACAAAGTGAGCAGCTGTTGGGCCAGTAAAGCTGTCAAGTCGTCGCTAATGGCTGCACTAAAGGCGGAAGAAGTAGGCTCACTACTAGGACTGTCGTTGGAGGAGACGGCATGAAGCGGCACGATGCACATAGGCTCGGGATCCGTCACGCTGGCCACCGTGGTGTTCTGAGGCAGTAGAATTTTTCCGGATGTTGTATTGACAGCGGCGACAAGTGCGGAGCCATTGAGGAAGCGAACTGCACCGGAAGCGAGAATGTTGCCTTTACCGACGCAGGTAAATGATGGTGAGACCAAGACGTCGCCATGGTCAATGTCCTTGGAGATAATCGTTACAATTCGCTCTTGACCTGGTGGTAATTCGGTATCTTCCGCAGCTCTCAAACGAAGTGGCCTCTCGGGGACGTCGTTGAGCGTGCAGTCCGTGTCGGTGAAGTGGACGACGCATTGGCCACAGCAAATAGCCGCGGATGCAGAAGAAAAAAATCCCACCCTAAAATTAATTGGTGAGAGCAGTTAGTCAGGACGGCGAACTATATGTGGTGTCGGATACATATCAATAAAAACGCGGGCTTTACAGAAAGCAGAAGGGCGAATGGTATACCCGTGGGCAGCAACCAAAGTGGGTACATCGTTAGAGGATTATCACTCTTTTGCAGACGTTGGCGTACGTCAACACGCACAACAGAAAATGCTGCACCCGTGTCCACCAGAGCATCCACGTACACTCCTTCCACTACCACTGAAGTCATGTTGCATGGGCCTGGTGGAGGAATATCAGTCCTAATTCAGAATACAGTTTTTACCCCAGAAACTGCGTCACTTATTTTTCCGAATGACTGGATGAGACGAATGAGGCAGGCCGAAGTGGGGAGGAGGAGCGGCGAAAGGGTGATGGTGAACGACGTCTGGAGTTCCGGCTGTTTCGAGGTGCACTAGATGCAGGCGGCGAGGCAGACTGGTGTGGCGGTGATGAATGGTGTTTGACCTTGATAGTACATATCTCGTTCACGCATGTCGTAACCGCGGGGCTCGTCTTGCTGGCGCTTGCGGCAGAAACGAGAAATGTGGCTGCGATACCCACAGTAGTAGCAGACAGGGTGGGACGAGCACCAGAGTGGGGAGTAGAAGGCGTTAGGGGCACCTGAAGATAGCGTGCTCAGGTGGGCCGAAGAAGGGTCGGGTGACATCTAACAGTAGTTGACCGGGCGAGCGGCAGGAACCAACGCGTAGGATGGTTGCGGCAAAGTCACGTGTACGTCGCTCGGAGACGCGGTAGCGACTTGAGCGTAGGTTGATATGGTGCGAGAAACAGGTGGTCGGACGAGATCAGAGCCGGTCAGGAATGTAAGCTCATCCCTAATGAGGTCACCAAAGGAACTCCCGAAGGCTGTGTTGAACGTAGTGAAGGAGGTGTGGAGCCCATAGACCGCAATTCTACTCGTATATTGTCCCGGATGAGGTCACGCAGATGGCCATGGGACGTGGAGTGGTGGTAACCAATGTCCGTTTGGAGACGAACGGAGTCCATCGAGTCAAGGCACTGGCATGTCGCGACGACGTTAGCGATAGTAGCTGGATTTTGCGCAGCGAGGGCATTAAAAGCAACAGGGCCAATGCCTTTCAAGATGTGGCGTACTTTGTCCGATTCTGGCATAGATGAATTGACACACCGGCACAGTGAAAGGACATCCTCAATGTAGGAAGTGCCGGGATGTTGGCCGGGATGTTCGCCGGGATGTTGTTGGTGAGCATCGAGGGTCCTATTTGCGATGGCGGAATGAATAAACAGGTGTACCAAAATTATGTCGCAGCTGGTGCTGGAAGGTCGCCCAGTCGGGTGAGTCAATGACGTGGTTGAAATACCATGTCTTCGCCATACCGGTCAAGTAGAAATAGACGTAACGGAGCTTGGCGCTATCGTCCCAGTGATTAGCAACACTCCCAGTCCTCCACGTCTTCCCCGCGATGACCGGCGAAGAGAGGGAGATCACGCTGGCGGCTGTGTACGTAAACGGGAGGCCCGGCTGAAGACAGCGGGGGAGAGATGGTAGCAGCGATGGCAGCAGCGCCGGCGGGCTCGTTCTGTGACATGCTGCCAGACAGTGGGGGCAATCGGTGGCCTGAACGCAGCTCCGGGGGTCGAGCGAAGTGGGAGAGGACCAAATACCGAAAATCCACCTCCACCACGTATGACACCTTGGTTGAGACAGCGTTTATTCAGCCCAAGGGCTCAGCAGCGAACGGGCAGTCTGAGACCGATCGTGCACACACACGATAATGATTGTGGTGTGTGGTGACACCCAGATATATATATATATATATATATATCCAGGATATATATATATATATATATATAATATATATATATATATATATATATATATATATATATATATATATATATATATATACATAAAACGAAAAAAAATCTAGTGGCTAAGGTACTCGGCTGCTGACCCGCAAGTCGCGCGATCAAATCCCGGCTGCGGCGGCTACATTTCCGATGGAGGCGGAAATGTTGTAGGCCCGTGTGCTCAGATTTGGGTGCACGTTAAAGAAACCCAGGAGGTCGAAATTTCCGGAGCCCTCCACTACGGCGTCTCTCATAATCATATGGTGGTTTTGAAACGTTAAACCCCACAAATCAATCAATCAATCGAAAAGAAATAAAAAAAGTAGCGACACAAAAACATTCTCGAACGGATGACGGAATATAATAGCGTAAGTTCATTGTGCCATGTAAACTCAATTGTCATAAGGCAATAAAACTAGTCAGTTGAAATTAACTATATATTTTAATCACAGGACAACAATGGTTAGAGTTTAGGAGCACAATTACTTAAGTTTTGGTGCTCAGTGTTTGTGAACTCAGTCGGCAGATGCATTGCGTTTTATGTCAGGTCTCTTCCATGTGATATTTGTTTTGTCCTTAAGAGCACGGTATGTATTGCTCGCAAGTAAAAAAAAAGTGTATTCGTAGGCTGCTCCCACCCACGATTCTTACGCTAACATTCTGTAACAGTAAAGAAATAACAAGAAATGGAACAAACAAAAAAGATGCCTTGACAGCCAGTGGACTAAAAAAATGCAATACTCGGCTCATTCAGTATCAGTCCAATGCTTGTGTTATCTGCCGGTTTGTGTATTTTTTTTTATATCTACAGGAGGCAGACATCGCTCCCGGGCCATTGGTGGTGACTGCCCAGCGCGTGTCAGTGGCCGACCCAACAGTGCCCTACTCGTACGAGGAGATGGTCATCCTAGGAGGGAGGCCCAAGCAATTCAGCAACAACCTCTTCAGCATCGCGCTCACGTTTTCACCGATGGTGATGAAACCATCATAGCTTACACTTCCGACCACTGGAAGAAATAATACAAACGATCGCCACTGACCTTTCTATGTCCTTAACTCACTGCGAGTTTAGCGGCACGAAGCATTGAATAAGTTCACTGTTGTTAATTGGCCGCCTGTAGATTGCTGTTCTTGTAGACTCTGTGGAAATGAAGAGGTATGCGTAACATTGTAAATTTTTGTCTGGATATGTATTTATTACTTTCGCATTTATTGTCTTTTTGTTCCTTCTTTTGGTGTTTGGGTACTCTGCTCGCAGAAATGATTAGTTGTGTGTAATTATTGTAATTTTTTGTCGTGGCGTGTAAATATTTTTGTTTAACATTTCGCCTATACTCGGTTTGCATTACCTTTTTTTCGCATTTCACGTATGGATACACACCCACTTTTCTAATGATCGACATAGATAGATTCAGACGATTAACTTCAGATCAGTTCAATTTTATATCTCGAGCTGAACTCTCCACTCTTGACGTCATACATATATGTTGTAATAATACAGATTTGAATTTGTTGCGGAGACTATATGGCCCTGTAGGAAAGCAGTCACAAACTGGATATAGTGTGAATGGCGCGACTGTTTGTTTTCGCGATCTCATTTTTCAGGTCTGGATGTTGATCGTTACCAGCCTTCTGGCTTGTGGTTTGCTACATTACATCATCGAAAGAGCCTTGAGATCCGGCTCAGAGAAATCTCGCCACCTGGGATACTTCATCTGGCATTTCGTCACCAGCGTTCTTTCGGAGAGTGAGTACAAAAGTGAGCCATATTGTTCAGCACTCTATTTTCCCATGCACATGGTGTTCCACGACAGGTAGGCTAAAGTATGTTGGCTTATTTGTCGCAAAAGCTAAGAGACAGACAGACAGACAGACAGACAGACGGACGGACGGACGGACGGACGGATGGACGGTCGGACAGACAGACAGACAGGACAGACAGACAGACAGACAGACAGACAGACAGACAGACAGACAGACAGACAGACAGACAGACAGACAGATAGTTTAGCACCCAGCTTCGGATATGACTCTTGGTGGAAAGCTGAGGGATGGGTTGAAGGCCAGTTCTGAAAACATACATAAAAATACGGTGATGTGAATGCATATGTACACAAGGAATTCACAGCCGAACAGTTACCAAGGCCAACAAATCTTACGGCTCATGCGTGAAAAAAGTGGGCTTACTGTGTCGACGGCGTGAACACGATGCATACACAAAAGTTCGAACCGCAACAGCGGATAAGTTACAGAAAGGTTCGAAAGAGGCCGAGAGGATGGGGGGGTGGAGGCAGTACCAACTGATATATAAATGCGGTTGTCGTTTACGGGCCATGAGAAAAAAAAATACGATGCCCGGTGTCGGTCGCATAAACAGGAATGTTACTAAGCGTCAGTTAAGAAATCAATGTCACTAAGAGCATATCATTGCGCATAGGTTGTCCTTAACGTTACAAATCAAAATGGTAAAGCTTTTATGTGGTCACACTAAAGTTCTATAGCGGCGGACAGTTAAGATATACATAGAAAGTTGCCAAGATTCAGCAACGGGCGGCTGTTGAAGATACGCGTCGCATGCAAACACTGGGGCACTGCCCATCACAGTGAACCACTGATCATAAAGACTTTGGGAACACTGTCACATCTCATCTAGGCTCGATGGTTTGCACGTTAAGTTTAGGATGTTATAGGTCAGGTATAGCCTTGCGAGATTCGCACACAATTTCCCCGCACGGTTTCCCCTTTACTAACTGCATTGAATTATAGTGTCCTGTTTTGATCTTTGTTTTTTTTAACTAAGCGCGGGCATGCTCTTAGTAAGTATTGCGCAACGTAACGCTACATAAGCGGTGGTGGCCTGTGTGCCGTTCGGCGTGCGGTATATTGTACCGGACGCCTATTTCACCTGAACACACCCCAACATGATTGTAGGCACTAAGCAGGAACTTCCCTCTATCATCAGTGCAGGTGCTGATCATGAACGTTTAGCGATCATATCTACTATCATTGTAGCCCAAATGGCAACAGAACAGTGGCCGACACCAACGTGTCCAACGTCACACAGCATGTTTTAAGGGCGCTATGAAGAAGACCTGCGATGCGGAGGCAAGGGTTGACATTCTCGCTTTTCGATTTCGCGGCAGCCGTGCCCTGCTGGAGCAAGCCAAACCCCGTCAGCCAGCGTGTCGTGACGTGCTTTTGGCTGATAAGCGTCATCCTGGTCACCACTTTCTTTACGGCGTTCATGAAAGCCAGTCTTCTGGTCAAGCAAGATGTCGAACGAATCTGGGACATAGAGGACCTGGCACGGGAGGAGAAGATAAGACCGGTGTTGCTGCGTGGGTCTGGATTCTACCAGGCTATAAAGGTACTGACAGGGTTCGTCATATCAACATCAAACATCAAAAATGCGAATAGAAGATAATGTATATTAGGTTCTAGTATCTTCATGATCTCACAAGGCGAAGAAGTTGACAACACTATATATGTCCTTGAATGTAGGTAGACTCTGATAGAGATAGAGCAAGGGATTTCCATATGAAGTCCAAAGGAATTTTATCTCTTTGGACCTCATACGGAACACGACGTCGTAGGAAAGAATGCACATCGAGAGTACATATAGTTTTCATCGCAATGAAAAAAGGCAGTATAGAATCAAGAGATGTGAAACTAATACATCAACTTGTGGAGGTTGGAAGCGATATTCGGAAGATCATGCTGACAACGAAAATATTTGCAATTTCTAGGTAGTTACAGCTAAGCAGAAAGAAAACGTGAAAAAGAAAAGCACGAAATAGATTTATTTGCCACGTTGACGCGGACGCGAAACGGTGCCTTGATGCATTTTTTCGTCAGACCGACTTTTAGATCTAGTCTATATCGTCCGTGGAGAGCCCGCGCAGAAAATAGATGTTGCAGCGCTGCTTTGCATGTTACTTTTCATAGTTGTTTTGCTTGCGTCATATCCGGGTCACCGGTTCAAACTCTGTCCCGCACGTGCTTAGTTCACACACGTGGAGGCGTTCCAGAAGGTCTACCGACGTCTGGTGGAGCAGGGTGGCGCACTGCCTGCCGCAGAGCTGTTCAGCTTGTCGACGCTGCAAGATATCCAAGCCGAGCGTGCAGCAATGCTCTTCACACGTGTGGCCATCAATCGACGGCTTCACCGTCACTGCCCGATGCTGCACGGCGAGTTCTACTATGCCCGGCATCCGGTCACCCAGGTGCCTATGGCCATGTTCGTGCGGAAGGGACTGCCCAGGGCCGTACGACGTACGCTGGACGCCAAGTAAGACTTCGTTCAATAAAGCCTTACCACGCGAACCGGCAGGCCGCATACAGATGTCCCGCCGAAGTAGCTCGATCTCCAGCATTGGGGAACGGCTTTTGCAGAGGAGAATACTTTTGTTAGAGCTGTGTATCCTTATATTGTGTTTATGCAAGGGAGTATATCAAAGGGTTTAAAATGACAGGCGTGACGAGTGTTCGTGGGAACATACTGTTATCTGAAGAGAGATGGAGAGAGAAAGATCTTTTTGAAATGTAAAGTTATAAGCCAACGTACATTTGAATTATTGTATAGAATAATATGGAGGAAAAAGAGATTGGATAATGCGGGAAAAAAGCTTTAGTCGCTGGAGAAATTTATAAGTACCTTATTTGTGAAAGCCAGTGAATTGAGTTCATGATAATACGGGTTGCAGTGCGAGCACGAATGTGCTAGAAGAAACAGACGAAAGTCGAGGTACGGAAGGCAAAGAGGACAACACGAGCGCTGCAACCCGTATTATCATGAATTCAAACCAACTAGCCCAAATCGCCATTCTTCTTCAGTGAATTGAGGACTGTGAGCCCTTTTGCTGCCCGTGGCCTGCTTGATACTGAACTGTGATAATGTTTTCTTCTGCTTGTTCATTTTTACTCAACGATCTCCTTCATGCAGTGACCATTCATTCACCGTCAACGTGCTATTCGCCATCCTCTCTTGCACCTACTTCACAAGGGACTGTTTATGCCCGTTCATGCTTTTAAAATTCGGTTCATGGGGCAATAACAACAAGGGAGTATGGCGTTGTGGTCACATTGAGAATGAAGTCGCAGGATGATGAAAGCTGTTATATATATAATAAGTCATTTTATTTCTATCAAGTGTACCCCGCATATTTCCGACCATCTCCGTTCATGCTGAAAAAAAATCATGCGGGTATGCGTGAATGTGAGAAGTAGTTATTGAGGCGATTTATTTCACAAAAAAAGTTCAAACGTTCGGCACCCAAGTGAAAATGTGTGATGCTAAATATTAAAAACAATATTACTTGTTTGAGCAATTACCCCTAAAATATTTTTCTTTAATGTCAAGGCACTGCACTTTCACCATAGTTCATTCATTTTTCTTTCAACTTTATTGCGTGTTCACCTTGGCAAAGAATTGCGATATGCTGCGTGTTTGGTGCTTCTTATAAGAAGCACTCTTTTTTTCGCGTGTAATGTACTTGCATTTTCTTTTGTATATGCTCCTATATTATATGATTACACTACCTTAGGAGTGAATCAAGCAAGTACATTGCCAGAATATTGTGACAAAGCAGGAAAAAAATAGTATTTTCACTCACATCGCAGCCTAATTTGCTCAATGTAGCATTGAGAGTAAAAATATCACTTCAGTATTATTGAATAGTATTGCTTCTGAGTACAACATGTAGAAAGTTTCAGAAGAGCTTACTTTGGTTAAAGCGAAAAAAAAACAAGAGATTTTTCATCCGAATAAACAGAAGGTAGTAGAAAGCTTTCCATTGCCTAACCTCCACTGCGTAGCACGTCAGCGGGAGGTTCCAGCGGGGGCTTTTCGCCAGCGACTAATGTATGTCATAAAACTGTTTGTCACTGCTTTTAGTAATACTGCTGCATAGAACGTTAAAAAGGGGCGATCGTGCAAGTTTTATGAAACGGCATCTTCCTTCTTTAATAATTAAATAGAAGGTTATTTCAACCGCTTCTGAGTCCCAAGAGGAAAAATGAAGTGCAGTCGTTGACATGTTTGACAGTATTGGTACGTCATGTTTGGCTTTTGATAATTATTACACATCCTCTTGATAGCATATTATGACTTCAGTATAGTATACTATACCTAAGTCGTTTTTATGATGTTTCAGGTATAGTCCGATGCGTGATCGCTTACGACTGATGTACATGATCAAATTATGTGTCCTAAGTGCACACATTGAGATGATTTGTTGTCGTGCCCATAAATGACACGTAATTCACAATTTTAAGTTGTATACAAACATTTCATACTTTTTGAATGGTCCAAGGCCATTGAAAATGTTACGAGCACATTACCTTTACCAGATGGGCTTCTCATAAATACAGTTTCAGTGTCTTCTGACCATTCCGAAAGAAGGGGATGAAAATGTTAAACTCCTCCAGAAATGTTGACAGACGAGGATCTTTTAGCAGTTGTGTTTGTCTACAACTGCGAACAAAACCCCTCGAGTTGATTTTCTTTCGCCTCACTGGCACAGGCTAGGCCAGATGCGTGAGGGTGGCCTGCTGGACAAGTGGCTGGCCGAGATCTCCGCTCCGGGCTGTGAGTCCGTCGTGGCGCAAGCGTCGTCATCGGAGACGGAGTCAGACGAGGGAGAGGCATCCGCCAGCCTGGAACACTCCCTTGCAACGTTTCTCTTGCTAGGCCTCGGCATAGGCCTCGCCACCGTAGTGTTGCTCCTCGAGAACCTCGCCCACTTCCTGGATGCTAGAAAGCTGCATGCGGAGAGGCTGCGGCGGCGCTGGATAAAGGCTGCGCCGCGCTAGAGTAGAGGCAATAGAATGAAGCCGTAGGAAGTTCGAGGCTGTGTTACGTAGGGTCGGCGTGAGGGGTTTCCCATACATTACAGCGACCTTCCCTGTACACCCCCTCCTCCTCAAACTCCTGTAGTCTTAGTGCCCTAATTAGGGAAAGGATCAGAGACAGAGAGACAAAGCCAAATGCGCTTTTTTTAGCATTACAGATCGCACGCGTGAGAAGAGAAATAAATCATGGAGACTTCAGAGATTTGGACGAGCCCTTCTAGGAACGAGAAGGGTAATCTATACTAGTTGGTAATAGTCATCTTTGATGAGCTTACTGCAGCTGATAACATTAGTTGAGAGAAACAGTGCTCGTGCCGCCATGTCTTTGGTCTGCGTCGTCGTCCTTTCTAGCGCTGGAAGCTGGTTCAAAGTGAACGGCTTCGAGGAACACCTCTGAATGTCTGTGCCACATGAATGAATACCAGACATTCCAGTGATTAGCTCTACGATTTCAAGCACCTAGATGTGTTCGAATCCTGCGCTACAGAGTGGAGACATAGGTTCTTGCGGGCGCCATTTGGTTTGGAAATTCCCGTTTTCTGGCGCTTCCCTGCATGTAGTGAAAGGGGGGGGGGTGGCTTTGAGTAAAATGTGCAGAAATAGGGCTCATTTTATCCTTTTGACGGTACGGTTTGAGCACATATTGTTCACAACTCGTTCTGGGAGTCTTTTGTGATTAAATGCATGAGCATTCTTTGGCAAACGAAAGTCATTTCGGGCGCAAGTATGTGCCTATATGACCACCTACGTCTTCGTGTTCACACGGAAATTTCATTGACCTGATGTGTGCCGAAATTGGCATGGCATGAGCGGAGCGCGAGATGAACGTAAATGGCAGGTCATAACTTGAAAATAACGTCATGCATCTGATGTACGTCATAATCTACCAGCACATGGCGAGGTCTTGGTGCTGTCGTGGCAGTTTCATTAGGTTGGTAATTGCCAAAATAGGCAAAGCGTGACACGGATGTGCAATGAAGACAAATGACAGATCATAGCACAAAAATCACATCATGCATGCCATGTGCGTCATGATATACATATAAATGACAGTAATTCAGAAGAATGGCTAGTTTGGCAAGTCGGTACTGATATCAACTGAAGGTTAATTGCAAGACCGAGGTAATAATTAAAGGAAAGGATAAAAAGCAAAAAGGGGGAGGAGAAAAAGGCACGAGGGGCCGGCTCAACAAAACCGATAGGCCACATCACTAATAGTGCATGAGGAGTTGAACTTTCTAGGTTTTGTATGACGTGCCTTCTCCTCCTGCTCCTCCTCATGCTGCCGCCGCTGCTGCCACTGCTGTCGCCGCTGTTGCCGCCGCTGCCGCCGCCGCTGCTGCCGCTCCTGCCGCTCCTGCTGCTGCCGCTGCTGCTGCCGCTCCTGCTGCTGCCGCTGCTGCTGCCGCTGCTGCCGCCGCTGCTGCTGCTGCTGACGGCGATGAATTTCCCTAGATATTTTAAAGCATCAAGCAGCAGCAGCAAAGCACTTTGCTGCTGCTTGCTGCTGCTTGCTGCTGTTTTGCTGCTGCTGCATGCTGCTGCGATCGATTCCGTGTCTAGCCCGTGGCTCTTTACCCACTTTACGCTGCTCACATCGTGACTGGATTCGGGCTTGCTGAGTGAAAAACCAGCTTTTTCATCATCGGGGCCAGGATCACTGCTGTTGGTGGTATTGCGTGGCATAAGCTGCAGAAATTCGACCATTGTCGCTACTACCCGAGTTCAATGCAGTCCCCTTGATATTGCAGATTTGGTGCTGCGTTGATGCCACATATAAAATGGGGCTTGCGAAGAGCCCAGCGTCTTCCAAGACTTCGTTGTCAGAGAAAAGCTTTGAGTGAATCTGTGAGGGACGTTGACGGTTGTCTTCGCAGGTAGACTTGAACGTTCAACTGTCTGTTATGAAAGCACCAGTGGTCCCTCACACGTCAGCGGTGCATTGAGGCGCCCAGGTGGACGTGATAACACGTGGAACAGCTAAAGATTGGCTGGACCACCTTGACGTAGTTCTGACGTGTCGAACTTGGAACGGTAGGGACAGCGTCGGCTTTCCCGTCGGGCACGTGAAGTGGCGCTGCTAACGGGGCCGCAAGGGCTGATGATGATGGCGTTGTTGATGCCTCAACCATGGCTCATACTCGCTGAGGGGATTGGGCAAGAATTGGTTGTATGAATTTCGAGGCCTTTCAAGTATTAAATAATCCTCAAGCAAAAAGAAGGAACGTAATTGAAAAAACAAAAAGCGCAATACTTTTTTACCATTCCGACCAGACAGTATATGTAGTCTGTGTTTTGACTATAAGTTACACTAATATCGAATAAACTTAACATTTACAATTTCAATTTGCTTATTAATGCTACAACGTATCGTCGTTTTTGCTAGAACGTATTGTCGTTATATATATATATATATATATATATATATATATATATATATATATATATATATATATATACTATATATATATATATATTATTATATATATATATATATTATATATATATATATCTGACGTAGAAAGGCAGTGACTTGTAGTAGAAGCCGAAGAAGGAAGAAGCAGAATGGAATAAACATGGGGTATGAGCCAGGCCACGTCACCCATTCATCATAGCGTCACACGAGTCGACAGGATGGAGACCTGCCTGCCCCTTATTCAGTCACTCATCATCGACAGGTCTCCATCCTGTCGACTCGTATGACGCTATGATGAACGGGTGACGTGGCCTGGCTCATACGCCATGTTTATTCCATTCTGATTCTTCCTTCTCGGCGTCTACTACAAGTCACTGCCTTTCTACGTCACACACACACACACACACACACACATATATATATATTTATATATATATATATAATTATATATATATATATATATATATATATATATATATATATATATATATATATATATATAGATATATATATATATATATATATATATATATATATATATATATTGTAACAGACTAGAAGGAGGTGGAGAAGAGAAGCAGAGGAAGACGAAGAGTCTTGGCACGATCGCAGTGTGCTGCCGCAAACGACCATCGTTCACCTCCTGTAAATAAAACCATCTTATCACAGCTCGCTGTTACAGTTGTGGTGGACGTGCTGGGTAATCGACACCCGAAGACGGAAGGTGAACCGCAAGTTCTTCGACGGAGCCATCGCATTGCTGGACTTCCACCGAATCCATCTGGGCTGGACATGTCCCACAACGCAAATGAACACCGACCCCTCTCAACTTCTGCGCCGACCAGTTCGGCTCCAGCAACTGAGAGATGCTCGTCCCTTTGCCGGCAGACCAGATGAAGACGTCGAGGCTTGGCTCATCCATTACAAACGGGTGAGCGCCGCTAACAAATGGGATGCCGCTTCTCAGCTTTTGTACGTCGTGTTCTTTCTGACCGATACTGCATTAATGTGGTACGAGAATCGGGAGGAAACGCTAACGACGTGGGACTCATTTGTTTCTGAAATCAAAGAGCGTTTCGGCGACCCAACAACGATAAAGGAAAGAGCAGAACAGACGCTAATGCAACGCGCTCAAATGCCAGGTGAAACTTGCACGACCTACATTGAGGAAGTCATAAAGCTATGTAGGACCATTGACTCCGGAATGTCTGAGGAAGACAAAGTCGGGCACATTCTAAAAGGAATCGCCGAGGATGTTTACAGTTTCCTCATCGCGAAAGACACCTTGACATCTGTCACCGATGTCATTCGTCGTTGCCGCAATTTTGAGCAACTAAAGATGAGGCGCATCACGCCAAAGTTCGGCAGGCTGCCCAATGTGACGACCATTGCGAGCATAGACAGCAACCAGGCGCTTGATCTTGCAACAACGATCCGGCAGATCGTACGTGAAGAACTCGGCCTGTACGCGCAAGTGGCAAACCGCCCAAGCACTCATCCTCCCTATCAGCCACCAGAGTTCGAGCGAAACGTTGCTTCATTCTCCTCGCACCGAGTGGCGAGGGCTTTGAGGATTCTGATGCCACACCTCAGTATCAGCCACGTCTATACGATAGAAGCCCTGCCTATGACGCGCGATCACGACGAGCACAGCCACATTCTTATACTCAGGGTTCTCAGCCGGACTACGTCCCGCTGCGGCAAGGACAGTACCGACCCTACTACCAAGATGCGCCTTACGGCGAATACAGTGGATTCCAGAATGGCAGAAACCCGTTCTTCGCCTGATAACGAACTTCCTCGCCGACAGCAGCGGCCCAGGATTCGTTCCGATGAATACAGTATAAACCGTGACCCTCCCGTGTGCTACAACTGTGGTTTTACTGGGCATATTGCTCGGTATTGCCGCCAACAACGCCGCCAATCACGAAGGACGCCAGCCATGTCTTCGCCACTAAGACCCGGTGCTTCATATGACCTGCGGACAACCGACTTGTTTCCAAGGGACCGTGTTTTGCACGAGACCAGACGCAGTCATTCGCCAGCATCCGAGCGGAGTTTGACACCACCATCCAACCGTTCTCGTCGCTCGCCGTCTCCTCTGCGTCGTTCTTCGCCGCCGCCGGGAAACTAGCATCCGCGGCCAATGGAGGTAAGGTCGCCGGACGGTCTTTTCAAGATATACCTCTGCCTATTGTTATGATCATAAACAAAGTGAATGTGTTGATTGATGGAATACCGACGATGGCGTTAGTTGACACTGGGGCGACTGTGTCTGTGATGAGCCTCGCCTTCAGAAACCGCTTAGGTCGCAAAGTTATGTTTTCATGGGACGATACAATCACCTTTCGTGGTGTAGGCGGCGAGTGGCTTAATCCTCTTGGTGTATGTGCTGTCAGTGTTTCATTGGCTGGAAAAGTATTTGTATCGGAATTTCTGGTTCTATCTCGTTGTTCGCACGATGTCATTCTTGGTATCGATTTCCTGGAGCAATGCGGTGCTTCCGTTGACTGTGGTAGTGGGGAAATATCACTAAACAATTTGTTTCTACCGTCGCTTTCCGAAGAAGACTACCGTGGCGAAGACAGGAACACACTTAGTGTGATTGATGAAGTGATAGCACCATCTTGGTGACTGACACCCGTTCGAGTCTCTTCCACAGCGGTTGATGATGCTTGTGTTGACCTCGTAGTGGGGCCTCTGCGCAAGAACTGTTTTAAGAAGGACATACTTGTGCCTTGTTCTGTTGTGTGCATGACGAAAGGAGTAGCAACATTGTGGGCGCTGAACTGTTCTGCCACGCCGGTTGTGCTTCCTCGCGGGATGAAGATAGCTCTCTTTGATGAAGCCTCATGCAACTCGATAGCAGCAATAGATACGGACCTCCCCCCCTCTTCCTCTGCTTGTGATATTCGCCATAATGAAGATCTAATGCTCGCTATGATCAGCAAGACTCTCAGTACGACGGAACGGCAAGCGCTGGTGCAGGTCCTTTCCCGGCATTTTGCTGCTTTCGACTTCAAACATAGAGATGCACCCCTTCAGTTACCCTCTTCCCGCGCTCGTCACAGAATAGACACTGGCTCTGCACACCCCATCCGCCAAAAGACCTACCGAGTGTCATCCTCTGAGCGCAAAGTTATCGCCGAACAAGTAGAGGAAATGCTGAACAAAGGGGTCGTGCAAGAGTCGTCCAGCCTGTGGGCAGCCCCGGTAATTTTTGTCAGGAAAAAGGATGGTTCCTGGAGATTCTGCGTAGATTACAGGCGTCTAAACACTGTGACGAAGAAAGATGTATATCCCTTACCACGGATTGATGACGTCATAGATTGCTTGCATGCCGCTTCCTATTTTTCAACGCTTGATTTGCGGTCAGGTTATTGGCAAATACCTATGGAACCCGGCGACAAAGAAAAGACTGCTTTCATAACTCCGGATGGCTTATTTGAATTTAATGTCATGCCTTTTGGCCTTTGTAATGCTCCAGCCACCTTTGAAAGATTTATGGACACAGTAATACGTGGTCTAAAATGGGAGATATGCATATGCTACCTTGACGATGTTCTGATCTTTGGCCGTACGTTTGAGGAACATAACAACCGTCTCAGTCTTGTTCTCGACTGCATCGAAAAAGCCGGGCTGGTTCTGAATTCTAAAAAATGTCGCTTTGGCGAACGTCAAACTCTCGTGCTGGGGCACTTGGTCGACAAGGATGGCGTCATACCCGATCCTCGCAAGATAGAAGCAGTGAGCTCTTTTAAATCACCGCAGTCCGCACGAGAACTTCGCTCATTTGTCGGCCTATGCTCATATTTTCGTCGTTTTGTTCCACGATTTGCGGAGATCGTGTATCCGCTGACGTCTTGCGACAGGATGCAACCTTCAACTGGACACCAGAGTGTGACGCCGCATTCTCACAACTTAAGTTTGTACTAACGTCAGCACCACTGTTGCGTCACTTCGATCCATCTTGCCCGACTGAGCTCCACACGGACGCTAGTGGTATCGGTGTAGGCGCGGTGCTTGTACAACGTCACGATGGCGCAGAGCATGTCGTGGCATATGCCAGCCGTTGCCTGAGCAAATCAGAACGCAATTACACAGTTACGGAACAGGAATGTCTGGCAGCTGTTTTCGCTGTATAGAAGTTTCGTTGTTATCTTTACGGGAGGCCATTTAAGATAATTACCGATCACCATTCGTTATGCTGGCTGGTCGGTTTGCGTGACCCCTCTGGCCGCCTCGCACGTTGGGCGCTGCGACTTCAGGAATACGACTTTACGGTGTCGTACAAGAGCGGCCGTCGTCACGCTGACGCAGACTGCCTCTCCCGGATTCCTCTTGCGACTACTGACTGCGATGCTGAGAATTTTGACGACTGCCTTGCTGCTGTTACAAGCACGTTCCCCAACGCGGCTGATTTCCAGAGAGAACAACGCAATGATCTCAACTTGGATCCTCTTTTTGCCGCCGCAAGTGCCTCCCAACACAGCGGTCGCTTTACGGTCCGAGACAAGTTGCTCTTTAAAACTAACTACTCCAGACCTGGAGCACGTTTTCTTCTAGTTGTCCCCGAGAGCCTTCGCTCCGAAGTTCTACGTGCCATGCATGACGATGCGACGTCCGGTCACTTCGGCTTCATTAGAACGCTGAACCGCACGCAGGAACGCTTTTACTGGCCCAAGATGTACGAAACGACGAAGCGTTACGTCGCTAGCTGCGAGACGTGCCAACGTCACAAGCGCCCGGCCACCGCTACACCAGGTCCCCTTCAGCCGTTAACACCACCCAGCACACCTTTTGAACAAGTAGGAATTGACATTATGGGTCCATTTCCGTTATCTAACAATAAGAAGCGCTGGATAATCGTCTGCGTAGATCATCTTACGCGGTATGCTGAAACCGCAGCTATTCCCTCTTCTACCGCTGCATCCGTGGCGGACTTCTTGCTTCACTCCGTGGTCCTTCGCCATGGCCCACCGCGTGTTATTATCAGCGACCGTGGCCGCCAGTTCACTGCCGATGCCGTTGAAGAATTACTACGCATGTGCACGACACAGTTCCGTCATTCCACACCGTATCACCCACAGACGAATGGCCTCGTTGAACGGACAAACAGAACGCTGACCAACATGCTTGCCATGTACGTTTCTTCCAATCATAAGAACTGGGATGAAGTGCTGCCTTTTATCACGTACGCGTACAACACGGCAAAACATGAAACAACGAACTTCAGCCCATTTTATCTGTTGTACGCAAGGTTGCCACTAAGCCCTCTAGACACTTTCTTACCCTTCATTCTACACAATGACGACTCTGTATCAAACACCCTGTGCCTCGCGGAAGAAGCCCGTCGAATCGCTCGTCTTCGTACTCTGGCCTCTCAACGTCGTTCGAAGGAACGATACGACGACCGTCACGAACCAGTTTTATTCGAAAGAGGTGACTTGGTGTTACTTTGGACACCGCAACGCAAGCGTGGATTGTGTCAAAAGCTTCTGTCACGATATTCAGGCCCATTTGTAGTTTTGGAGCGTCTAAGCCAGCTCACTTACGTAATAGCTCGTCTTTTGTCGAATGGCCGACGATCGAGCAGAACGCAGCTCACTCACGTGGCTCGCCTGAAACCTTTCCACCCTCCTTGTGCATCATAACTCGCCCTACGGGCTTCGTCTGCTTGCGGGGGAATGTAACAGACTAGAAGGAGGTGGAGAAGAGAAGCAGAGGAAGACGAAGAGTCTTGGCACGATCGCAGTGTGCTGCCGCAAACGACCATCGTTCACCTCCTGTAAATAAAACCATTTTATCACAGCTCGCTGTTACAATATTATTAACAGCCGACTTCATTACTATCATTTCAAGACCTATGTTAGCAATAAGACAGATATTTTACTCAGCTATGAGCAAATATAAAGCTATCATGGCATTCCCTTTAAAACATATGTAATTTTAGACGTTCCTCTTGCATTTAAACACTAAGCAATAGAGGGAGGAAAATAATATCCTAACTCGGCTAAACAGCTACAGCCAGAATTGCTTAAGTGTCGACCAGTTCGGCTGTCTCTAAAGCACAGCGCTTCTAGTGCTTTCACGCATTTTTTTCTTTAACGCTTATATTTACGTTTTATTCGCTTTTGTAAACAAGCGCGAGAACTTCCCAGTAATCAGCCACATTCTAATATAAATACTAAATTCGACCACCAGCAAGAAGGTGTCAGTGCGCTTGTCGCTATCGGCGAGGACGAAGAAATTTTTTAATGAGGTTAAAACAGCCTCAGGCTCGCCCTGCCACGGTGCACTAGAGCAAGGGCGTTGTCACCTGAGGTAAGGTGCAAGGACATCCGTCCTTGAGCTCCAGCACGTCGAGGTGGCTATCAAGGACCGTCAGGCTAACAAGCCCACAAGCAAACCGCAAATGCTCGTCAAGCTCGAGTAGCTTCAGGCTTTAGTGGTCCGATGGTGTCACCGCATGCAGTGACCTTGAACCACGTATGGCGCATATGGGGGACAGCCGTGTGATTCTATCTTCTAGATCAGAAGGCCGATTCCAACTACTGCGCATGAAACCGCCATCCCTGATAGGAGTCGACTGCAGGACCATGTGAAGAGGCATCGTGGAAGAGGGCCCTTCCATGGAGTCGTCGGTCGTTGGGCTTAGTGGCTGACAGCTCCAACTCTCGTTGTTTATTTCTTCTTCAAAAGCGTTAGAGAACAGCCTACGCTTAACGGATCTGCGGCTAGTGATCTCTTCGCGGTCTGTTTGTCTGTTTTCAGCCGTGTCCCTCAAAACTGCACAAAGGTCAACCTCTGGGAGCTCTGAAGGTGTCCTTCGGCTCCACACTGTGGCTGTGTGAAGCTCTCGTCCCGTTTGCATGCCACTGTTTTCACCAACGACCGCTTGAGTTGCACTCCACACCCGCAATAAAGGCTCCGATGGTGACGGAACGATTTGCTGGGAAGAGAAGAACAGGTCGATGGCCTGCTGCAACTGCTCCTCAAACGGGTCGTAGCTTTCTTCTGGCTGGACAGAACTTAGCTCTTCTTCGTCAATGTTAACCGGGAAAAGCTCGGCCATCTGTTCGATTGACCATTTGAACGAGCGTGATGATGACGGCTGTTCAGGGCTTCTGGAACGAAACATTGATGGTGAACAGAGTCGTTGACTGAGCTGTTCTGAGGGCACTTCAAAGGGGTTGGTTCTCTTGTAGCAGTTGTTGTTGCTGCAGATGCTATTGCTGCTGCGGCAATGTATGCCGTGTCTAGCCTGCGACTTCTCACCCGCTGTTACGCTGCTGACATTGTGAGGCGATTCGCGTTCGTTGATTGAGAAATGAACCTCTCTAGCGTCAGTGCTAACATCAGGGCTGCTGGTTCTGATGCGCAAGAGAGACTGCGTAAATTCGGCCATTGTCGCCACCATGCCAACACGATGCAGTTCCCTCATTATTGGCAAATTTTCGCGCGGAGCTGCTGCCGCGTCTGAAGCGGGTCCCGTAAAGAGCCCAGTTCATCTCAAGGTATCGTTGCCGGAGGTAGGCGCATGCTTTCAGTAAAAGCCTCGCATCTCCACAGGTCGTTGGCGGTAGGCTTCACAGGTATTCTTGGATGTTCAGCCGCCACTTCTGATAGCACCAGCGGTGTCTCTCACGTCAACGCTGCATTCAGCTACCAGGGTTTACGTGACAGCATGCAGGACAGCTGAAGGTCCACTGGCTCACCTCTATGTGGTTCAGGCGTCTCGAACTCAGAACCAAAGAATGAATCAGCCTTTTTCTTCTTCTGCTTCTCCTCCCTAGAGCAAGGCCCGTACCCAATACAGGGATTCACCGAGTACTAAGAGAACTTTTCAGGAATTATCCTTGCAGCATTGGCTGTGGAAGCTAAATTGAGCTAATATATTGAAGCGAAGTATGAACTTCGAGCGGATGCGCAAATTGGCGTGAGGTACCTTTTTTATCTTCTTGTCCTTGAGACAGCCATCTATAACAATCTACAAATGCAGAGAGGGGGAAGGGAGCTAATTGGGCAACGATGATGATGATTTTCGGAAGAATGGCACAACCCAGAACATGGGATCAGCAGCGAAGTGTGCGGCAGTAGAATATAGGGAAAAAAGA